ATTCACTTTGTTCGACAAAGGGGTTGATTCTGTCACTATGATCACCCACTCAGATGAATTCTCGGACTGTCCCAACATACCCAGGTTTTGACCCCCTCTAAGGATCTCACTGATTGGCACATCAAAGACAACCCAATCCGACACCTAGTGCAGTATCATAATCGAGTCTAGGGGTCAAGTGTAACATTCCAGTTTTGCCCATCAATCTCCAAGGTCCAGGGCAATACTAGAATTCTGGTCCGATTCAAGGTTTCAAGAAAACTCACACTGCATGTATCTCAAGTCTCACCCTAACAGCTGAGACAAGCCACCCCAACCAACTTGGCGGCACATCAGTGTCAGCCTTGGCAGGGTAAATCTCCCTAGATCTATCCAACGGTTGTAAAGATTCTAAACTAACACGAGTCTCATATGTGTCCAATTTAAGGATATTACACAGAAACACATCATAATAACATAAATCAAATATATACTTTATTCATTTATATTAAATGTAATAAGGTACATCATTCTAATTGAAGATAAAGACATACACTCTCTAACACGAATGTCCTCTCTGAAACCATTCACCATTCAATTATGCAGTTGCTATGAAAATCCTTAAAAAGTGTTCGGAGGATATACAACACAAAATTCACTTTTGATACATCACAGATCACCCATGTAAAGATAAAGAGCCGTCAATGTGTCAGGTCCGGGCTGGATCATGATGGGCCCAGATCTATGCTGATAAGAAAGCACACCGACCCAGACCCAACCAAGACCCATAACGTCACCTGAAACCAACCCTATTTATTAATGGGGCTTGTTGGGGTCACTACTCGTGGTTATGCTTGACAGGCTTTTAGCTTGTCATACATTAATTTACCCGAATAACCTTTTCCAAAGTTCATTGGACTATGGTATAGCTTTTCTTTGTTGTTTGGGCTAGAAGAAGCCCAAGAAGGGAAATTCATTCATTAAGTTCCGTTCTCCAACAAAACAGAGGTGGAGCAATCCTCTTTTAAGCACAGACAAGCTACAATCAGGAGAGACTCTCCAAACACTTGAGCCGAAAGATGTAAAGCTAACTGTCTGTGCAACAGAGTGAGCCACTGCCACTCTACTAGCTTCACGTGATATATATGGGGTTCCCTGATCGCTGCCATACTCTAATTCAATAGAAATGGGAGCACTTATGATCCTTTTTTCAACAAATCGATGTCTTAGACAGGGAGATCCTCTCTCCCCATATTTGTTTATTATTAGAATACAGGTCCACTCAGCAATTATTAAAAAAAGAAGGGAGCATGAATGCAATTCATGAGTAAAACTGGCAAAGGAAGCAGAGCATGTTACTCACCTTCTCTTTGCAGATGACTGCCTCATTATGAGCAAAATGGATCCTCACTCTTTTCAGACTTTGAAGCTGGCTCTAGAGCAATTGTTAGGACAGAAGAAAAACTATGGCATATCAGGCACCCTCTTCTGTAGGAATACATATAGAACCCACCAGAAATTTTTGTGTAAAATCAAGGGAATGAAATATATGAGTTTCCAATGGAAGTACCTTGGTTCTTGGCCGGCAGAGAGCAAGATGTAAGAGTAGAAGCTACAAAGAGCTACAGAGAAGAGTGGATAACAAATTTGGCACGTGCCAGGTTAAGATTATCTAAGGCTGGAAGAACAACTATGATTAAGGGACTGTTTGGCCAGTCTTTTTTGAAAGACCTTCTGGAAGCTGACAGTCAAAAGACAGTGAGCTTTTGCATTAAGATCTTAACAGCCTAAAAGGCCATTTGGTTAATGTGTGTCTTTCTACATGTCTTTCCACACAGACAAATTGAAAGAAAAAAAAAAACCCGAAAAACTCCATTTGGAACTTCCCAAAAATCACCTAAAACAGGAAAAGATGAAGACACGACTAGATCTTTTCCCAACCAAATGGGAAAAGATGAAAACGCAAGTTTCTGGGCTTCTAAAAAGCCAACAGCCCGCTCGAAAAAACACACCAAACAGGGCCTAAGTCAATGTCCCATAGCATTCCTTCCTATGTGATATTAACAAATCTGATCCCAAGAAAAGTTACAGACAAGATGGAGCAAGCCCAGAAAAATTTTTGGTGGAAGGGTGATAAGCAGAAAAAATTTGGTTATAATATCTCTTGGCAAAAGCTTTGTAGGATGACCAATGAAGGTGATCTAGGATTTTGAACGATGCATGCTATGAATAAAGCTCTATTTTCAAAACAGATCTAGAAGTTGATAAGCGGCTGTAATGAGCTTTGGGCTCAGCTAATCAAAAGTAAATATCTAAAGGAGGACTGCTTTAGTTGGAGGAGGAGGGCTACAGATTCTTGGTGGTGGAAGCGTGTTTAAGCTTCAAAAGAAGGTGAGTAAAATTTTGTGTAGGATGGCAGGGGGAGGTAACCAGATTTTTGCTTTACAAGATCCATGGATCCCATGGACTTTGGACAATAAACCAAGGCTTAAGCCTGATGTCAGATTACGGATCCCTTATTGAAAATTAGGTTGCTGATCTCATTATAGATGAAGGGGAGTGGAATGTAGCTCTGTTGCATGATATATTCGAGGAAGCCAAAGTTGAAACTATTAAAAATATCCCCTTACTAACAGGTGGAAATATGGACAAAACGATGTGGAAAGAAAGATAGCAAGGGTGGTAATTTTTCTGTAAAATCTACTTATAGAACCTAGAGCAAACTTGTCTGAAATCTCAAGCACAACAATTAAATGGACACGGAAGCCAGACGATTTGGTCTCTACTCATTCCCCATAGGTGTCAACTGTCAACTATTTTACTGTAAGTATGTTTTAGGAGATGTAAGAACCAAAGATTTCATATGGAGTCTCACAATAGAGTCCGGACATGCTAATCACAAAATATTGCTTGTCATATTCATCCTACCGCACATCAAGAATATCAGTGGTATAAAGTACAAGAGATGTTTCCAATGTGTGGCTGACAATGTATTGTGGTCAGCAAATTCAAACTCCACAGAACAAGGGGTGATGTGTAATACACTTTTTGTAAGAATAAGCATAAAGCCCAATTGCACTTGTTTTTTCGAGTGCAGCTTCACGAAGGCATTTTGGTTACAAGCTCAAGTGGGCATTAACACAGATAAGCTGATCCAAAGCAATGAAGTAGATTGTCTTTTGAGTGGTGCGACAAGCACAATGAGGGAGATAAATACAATTACGTGTTTTATGGAAAGAATTGTTGCAATAATTAGAAGCATTTGGGATGTGAAGAATGCAATGCAGTTTAAAGGAGTGACACCAAACCTTTTGGATGTCTGTAGTCAAGGGGATGCTTACAATAGGCTGGATTTTAGTATCTTGAATGCTTGGACAGTACGAGTCTATATCAGAACTCAAACATGTGGTTCTACAATACCTCCAGTCCCTATAGTTGATAGCTCTTTCGACAGTAGCACACACAGTGTCCACTAGTCTTTTACTTGATTCTCACTTAAATAATCACTTGATTGCAGCTTGCAGGACAACCTTGTATAGCCAACACCCCTGCAGTAGCTGAAGCCCTAGCAATCATCCAAGGCTTAAATATCTTTGGGACTCTCAAGGGTTTTTCTGATGGTAAAAAAGGTTATTCTCAAAGTGAAAAGAACCTCAAGAAACATCATTTGGCATGAAGATGGCATGAACAGGCGCTTATTGACCATATTCTTGTTTTGATTTTCTATATTATTAGCGTATGTTAATATATCTGAAGTAGAACCAGCTCATGTAACGGCAAACAGAACCAGGTCTTTGAATTCTTTTGTTTCTTTTGCACCCCCCGAATCTCTGTTCAGGCAGTTGAGTTCTTGAAGAAAGAGGGTTATTTTGTATCCTTTATGTTTTCAGTGGTTCCTTTTTTTCTTTGCCCGAAAAAGAAATGGTTATAGCATTTGCCATCCCATACATCAGCTGAAAACCACTTGCTGAAATTTGCCTTCAATGATTAGTTCTACTTTAGTTAGAGGAGCTGAGTTTTGAAACACAGGGCCCAAGTACTAATCAATTCACTTATCAAAAATAAATAAATAAAAATAATCAACCCATTCTCTCCGGTCAAGGCACAGGCTGAAGAAAAATAGGTCAAGTCTACAATTTTAGACCATTTTATCAGATTATCTACATCAAATGACCTTACTCTAGATTATAGAACCTTGAACTTTTAATTGAAGAAAGTGAGCCAATAAAATTCTCCATTTGAATCCAAAACAACCCTAGATGGAAACTTAATATCACCCATCTCCAAGAAAAAAGAAAAAAAAAAAAGAAAGAGAATAGGAAAATAATAATCCACACTCCACAATTTAAGTATGCGCATTCATCTATATTGACGCCGTAGTGTAATTGATTTCAACGAGCGCCAGACATTAAATATAAACTTGCAAAAAAGATACTCGAATAAAGCAGCTAACTTCTTAAAAGATCCTAAATGATACATATTTTCGGAGGGTTGTTACTTTATGCCACCTATACAATATGTCTTCTTACCAGCGAATGCACACTGAGAAAAATGTAATATCTAGATGGATTATCAGCTCAAGCAATAATCGCCACAATATGGTACAACCAAACTTTACATGATCTCAGTTTACTCCATGAGCTGATAACTGCACAAGACAAAAGCAACACAAACAGCAGACAACACTTCAGTTAGTGCATACATGTTTCCATTTAGAAGATTTTAACTAAATTATCTTGAAACATTTTAATTTTTTTATCAAAACATTTTAAACATTGACAACAAAAAATGGCTGAATCTATCTGACCCCAGACTGTACCTTGTAAATAACCAACATTTCTAGGTGCACCTAGAATAAACAATTTCTGCATTTTATTAAGCGTTACTTTGCATTTTATGGCATTAATTCGCCATATAAAGGAGCTACATGCGTATGTTAAAGAAGGTGAAATGAGGACATATCAGGATTTGAAAAAACGAGCTAATTTGTAACTTACCTAACAACAGGAAATGACCCTATTTTGGAAATTAAAATGAAATGCTTTGGTTTCACTAATGCAGCCTAGTAAATAAGCCAATGGATAAACCACAAGATATGAAGCATGAACAAAATGAATTTGCCAAACTACTGCTTCCTAAGCCTTGTCCCAACTATATGAGGTCAGTTACACAAATCCTGTTTCACCATTCTGTTCTTTTCAGTGTCATATCCATTGTTAAATTAGGAGCACTAAAATCATTTCTTACTACAACCCCCCTTTAGGTCTCTGCCCCTAGCCCTTTTATCCCCTTCAACTTGCAACAGATTGCTTCGTTTTACAGGTGCTACAAATATTATGATAAGATACACAAATGCATATTATATAATATTTTATATTTAAGTGTATATATATACACATATGTAATATAATATAAAATGTTATTATATAATATGGAAAAACCTATAGTGCATCCACTACACAGTGCAGCAAAATATGTGATTGGTTGAACGTGCTGGTAAATACACTTTGTTAAATGTGAAAATACACTTTGTGAAACATGAACCAATGAAGTAAGCAGACTTTAGCATCATTGGTTGAAATCTGGATTTAACGTGCAGCCAATATTAGTGAATGCACCATAGTTGAACTCATAGTATTTATATTTTTAAGGTTGTAGGCCTAGAAGCCTGACCTGGGTCTAGGCCCAGGCTGTGCCCCTTATTATAGGTGCTAAGCGCAGCCTGGCCCAGCCAAGTTCATAATCACCCCTATTCCTAATCGATAAGAATCTCCGTTATAATTTTCAAAACAAAATCATAAGTTCTGTTCAGTAAACAAAAGCATGAACAAAAGGAAGAGATACCTGTTTAAAGAGCCATTTCTGCCTGCAATGCAGCGAGCTCATCTTCCTCAGCTGTGTTCTTCCGAGGGGCAGGGCGAGTTGGTTGCCTACCTGCTGGAACATGTACCGGAGCTGCAGGAGCAGTTGTAGCAGGTTGAAGAAGCTGCTCCTCCAGCTCTGCTCCCTCCAGTTCTTCTAATTCTGCTTCCAGTTCATCCTGTAATTTAAATGATTTACACTCAAGTGAATAAAAAGAACCAAGTGGGAGGAGGGGGGAAGCATTTGGAAAGAGGGCAATTACTTCATCAAAATCAGCTGCTGCACCAATAGGAGCTGACAAAGCTTCCTGTATCTGTTTCATGTTCTCAGTCTGCTCATTGATCTCATCCATTGTCTTGTCCACATCATCAATATTTCTGTGAAGATTTGGCAAAGTCTATTAGTTATAAACTTATAATAACAATCAGAAATCTGTTTGTTTACAAGTGGATGAGTGCAGAACTGCAGATTTGCTGCTGAAGCTTCAGCAGCAAAACAACAATGCTGAAACACCACCATTGGCTGAGACAGAATTTCTGGGGAATTTTGGTAACCATCATGTAAGAGTACATTGGCCCAAATGCCCTGAGATGCTGCTCCCTTGTGCTTCAGCACTGTCTTTTGCTACTGAAGCTTCAATCACAGATCCATGCTCATTGCTCAATGAGGATACTTGGTTTCTGCAATCTGTAAGTGATATTATTTTCTCATCCATGCGATGTGAAAGTTATTTATATATGAGAGGTAAAGATAATAATAAAAAATTGGGCAAGATCAAATGACAGAAATGCACCATCTCCCATCACCATATGCATTGCATACTTTTGGGACTTCACCGTAAAGATAAAGATAAAGATAAAGATAATCATAATCATAATCATAATAATAATAACAATAACAATAATAAAAATAATAATAACAACAACAACAACAACAACAACAATAACAATAATAATAATAATAATAATAATAATAATAATAATAATAATAAT